TTTTATAACAATTATAGCAGAGCATTAAGCCAAATTTTAAGTCCTTCTAAATGTGTGGCCCTATGCGACAGTCCAGGGCAGACATCTGCAGAAGTTGGCTCTGTTGCTAGTATATTTCAGCTTCTTCTAAGTCACAATTCTAGAACCACATTTCCTACCAATCTCAAAAATTTTGGGCCTCTTATTTCTATTTCCATATAACAAGTAAATACACATGTTTATTCCCAGATTACTTTAACAAGGAAACTTGATTTTTGTTTGTTTGGTTGGTTGGTTGGTTTTTTTTAGATTTTTGTTTTGTTTTTACATTTCTTTAGTGTTTGGTTTTCTGCCAGGTTGGTTTAAACCTCAATGATATTATTTTAAAACAGAAGAATACTAGTTCCCCACGTGAACATATTGGGAATGGGGTTGAAGTAAAGCCTTCAGATTTGGAAGTTACTCATTCCATTTGGAATGCTTTCCCATCTGCAAGTTCACATGAACTACAGTATTTTTGCTGAGAAACAAACCAGGTTCACATAGTAACAAACTCTACTCTTACCCACAAGCCACTCAGCCGTTCTGTATCAGTTAGTCTTTAGTCAGCAGCCAACTCTTGGATTGTCCTCATGCAGCACCTTCTTGAAGAAGGTGATCAAGAAAAGAACAGGAGACAGTCCATAAGGCAAATGCTGCCATCTAGAGAGACGGAGAGGAGAACGTCATGAGAGGAGTAATTTTCCAAATAAAAATTGAAAAAATAAAAACCCTCAGCTGATGAGTGAGAAATTCTTCCAAGAAGATATCATTGTTCACAAGAAATCAGCATTTCATAAGAAGGTGGCAGGAAGAATTCATCTAATTTGAAAAGAAAGCTTATTTGATTAATGATTCTGTGGAATGGAGAACCTATGAAAGATCTTCTTCTTAAAATTGTACAGCAGGAAACTTCAAAGGTGATTTTTCTAAGGCTATGTAAAATAACTGCATCTCAACTAATTGTTTTACTTGTCTAAAATGTAAATAACATATAGCTTCATTTTAAAATTTCTCTTGTTTAAGCAAAGTCACAAAAGTTGGAATTATCTGTAGTAGATTGGTCAGTTTACCTTGTTTTCATGGTACATACAATATAAGGACATACTTGGGAACTCTGTGTAGATTTAAAACAGTATAAATTGAAAAAAAAATCAAACAGACAAACACAAAGGAACTGCTAAAAATGCCTGAAAAACCAAGGGAAAAGGCAGGGATCTAACTTGTCTCTATATATTATATGTGCAATCATTTGAACAACTCATATTTCAAAAATGAATAGTGCACACTGAGATAGCATTACCCGAATCTATTCGGTTAGCTATGTTCCCAAAACACTTCTACTAACTCTTGTGGCCTACATTACTAGAAAACAATTAAATTCTTCTCTAAGAGAGATCCTAAATCATTTTACAATCCAAGCAGTAACAACTGAGGAGGATATACTCTTTTCCATTCAGCTACTCAGAATTTATTTCGGTGAAAGTTTTGAAATTTAATATTATATTGTAAATTCTAAATGATTCTGAGCTGTATATTTATGTGAGATATATGTTGATAATATATTCATATTATACATGTACATATAGTGATATTTTTCAAATCATAAAAATGTGTATACATTGAGATCTGCCAGCTTTAATTTACTTAAATAGAAGGTCTAATGCCTCTGCTTATTGAATAATAAGAATAGCAACAATTATCTTGATTTAATATTACCAGCATTATCCATTCACTCAGGAAATACTTAGCAAGCACCTACTATAACCCAGAAATTACAATAAATGTGGGGGTACAGCAATGAATAAATATAGGTACACAACTCAATGTAAGCTTCATAATATCCCAAGGGCAGTAAGTGCTTCCCAATTTTGAAAAACTTGTCCAAGACCTTATTACGTACAAGTGAGGCAGTAGATTTTTATTTCAGTCACTGCTTATTTATAAATCACATTTTTAAGTCACATTGTATTGGCTCCCATTTAGTCAACCTTTCCTACTCTGATGAAAGCTTTAAGAAATAAATTTTGTTTTTCCAATGATTTGTGTAGCCATATGAGGTAAATATCAATATCATTCTTGGAAAGTTTTTGGAAAACACTTAAATCCTTCACAGGCAACATCACTAGTCATTAAGGGTTGCAAATCCAAACGATGATGAGATGCCATTTCATGTCCATTAGGATGGCTATATATAATTTGGTGGGAGGTGGAGAGAAAGGAAGAAAGGAAGGAAAGAGGAAGAGAGGACGGATGGAAAAGAAGGAAATGGAAAATGTTGATGAAGAGATGAAAAATTGGAGCCTTTGTTCAGTACTAATAAAAATGTAAAATGATGAAGTCACAGTGGAAAACAATTTGGCATTTCCTCAAAAAGTTATGTGCATATAGAATCATCGTGTGATCCAGCAATTCTACTTCTAATACATATCTAAAAGATGTCAAAGCAGAGACCCAAACAAAAACATTTGAACCAATGTTTTATAGCAGCATTATTTACAATAGCCTAAAGTGAAAACAACTCAAAGATCCATCATCAGAAAAAATGGATAAACAATAAGGTATATCCATACAATGGAATATTATTCAGCCTTAAAAAGAATGATATTCTGATACATGCCAAAATATGGATGGCTTCAAAACATTATGTTAAGTGAAATAAACCAGGCACAAAAAGGTCCATATTGCATGATTGCAGGTAATTCAGAAAGTTCACAGAGACGGAAAATAAAATAGGAGTTACTGGAGTGTAAGGGGAAAGAAGAGTAGGGGAAATATTGTTTAGCGAGTACAAAGTTTCTGTATGGGATAATGAAAAAGTTTATATAGTGGCAATAGTCATATGACACTGTGAATATATGTGATATCACTGAATGGATAGTACACTAAAAAATTGTAAATTTTAATTTATGCATATTTTACCTAACTGGTACACTGAAAATTATAAATTTTAAGTTATGTAGACTTAAATTTTCCACAGGTATTAATGGAATTTTATGAATTCCAGTAACACTGGGAACCAGAAATGGAGGCAAATGGTGTGAAAGGCGAATGAAGCTAAAGCACAGGGTCTCTTCTAACACTATTTTTTAAATAAATCAGCATATAAAAAGGTACTTGCCTATTTCAATTTAAATAAAATGCAACCTAAATACATACCATAAAATAAATTTCTTGCCTCTACCCATATTTTGTACTCAAAGAATTTTAAAATTTGAGGTGATATGCACTTGTATTCTTATAAAAATAATCATCAAATGCAAATTATGAACTACCCATGTCAGGGACTTCAAAAATCGTGAATCCATATATTTCTCAATGAAAAGCTATTAAATGAACATCTTAATATCTGAACTTAATTGGCCATCATGCCTGCCTACTGTTGATATCCATCTGGTTTTATATTAACCCAAAGAGTTCTGATGTAATTAAATGGTAATATCCTGTTATAAAATTTACAACTAAATTCACATTTTCTCTTCAACATCCTTTTTTATTTATGTTTAATATTTCTACACATATTGATTTAGGTTCAGAACTTGAAAGTCTAAAATAAATTATGCCAGATGAAAATAAACTTGAATTTCTGTTCAACTTAGAAGGACTCAATTGTTTTTCACAACTTTAAAATTCACCAGGATTAACATGATATAATATATAAATGTTTTTATTATAACTCTAAAGAGCTAAAGAATATTATGAAAGTTTATAAATTTTTCTGAACCAATATATAATTATGAAGCCTCTACTTCTTAAGGAATATCCTAATATTTAATTCACACACAAAATAAAACAAAGGTAGAGTGGTTTACTGATTAAGATCTATGGAAGAACTGAAAAGAAATAATATTGAAGCAATATTTCCTGCATATAAATCCTGGCTTTGCTATTTATTGTCTGATCTGTGGACAAGTTTATTTTTCTTGCCTCAGTATCTTCATCTTTAAATGGGAATAATAGTACACTGGCATCATAGGATTGTTCTGAAGAGTCAATAAAGAACTTAAGATAGCATTTGACACAGAAAAGGGGGTCAGTAAATATTTTATATTATTATTAGTCCCTGGTTCAAAAATAAGGAAATTTATGCTAAAAAAGGTCACGTTCCTTGCCAAAGTAATACATGTGATAAGATGTGAGATGGGACCCTAATTCTCCAAAAAGTTTGAGATTCTGGAAAAAAAAAATTTCCATTATTGGAAGATTATGATTATTGAAGTTATATCAACAGCATTTAATCTTAAAAATTATAATATCTATTGCTGCTACTTTTCATTATAATAACAAACTTTTATTGGGGAAAATTTTGATAAAATCAGGATGTGTTTTTTTTTTCCATGCAAAGCACAAAGGGACTATTTTTTGGTAATTATTCATAGATTTGAAGGTTTGTTCTTTTTTTTTTTCCTTTGTAATAATTCAGGCGCTTTAACCAAAAGCCAATTTTATGGTAAATAAAAATAACCAGATGAAATTCTGGTTTGGTCTGTAAGATAGTTGTGGGTTAGTTTGCAAATGAAATCTTAGGAACAATCTCCTCAGTTCTAAGACATTCAGGTTTGGATGGTAAAGAGCTGATGTCCTCTGCATATGAGAGTTTAGCATATAAAATATATCTTAAACCTTCAATAGTTACTCTATCCAAAAAAAGTTTCAATTAAATATTACTGATTAAAATTTTTAAAAAATCCAGATAATTTCAGGGTGAAAGCTTGCAGAAAGTTAACAAGGATAAATTACCATAAAAAGAATGGTCAGCTTTTTACAAAGCGAAGCAAATTAGGCCTTACTCAAGACTCGTTTCATGACATTATTTTCTGTGACTGACCAAAGTTTTCTTTTGTTTGTTTCTGTGATATGTGAGTTTAATGTTTGTTTTCTATCCTGATTTTCTCCCTCCCAATTGATAAACTCTGCATTCTCCTAATATTATCAGCTATAAAAAATTAACCAAGCTAACTTTTATTGGCTTGTTTTCTTAGACAACCAACATGGTGCTCCCCTGACCCACTGGACCATCAAGTTATGTTGCGTGACAGGAGTGACTGAAATCTGTGGAAAGGACTGCTCTCCAGGGATTGTTTAAGAAGTAAATGAGGAAACATCTCTCACCTATGATGATAGGGTAGTGAGTTATTCTATTGTTTAGAATTGGGGTTAACTGTTTTTGTTTTAAACTCTGCTAAGGTTATTTTTATAGTGGTCTAAAATTAAAAATTTGTTGAGAAACTCAAGTAAGCTTTTATTTTATTTTTTCTCCATGTACTTTTCACTGTTTTTTTAAACCAAATCTCCTTTTAAGGAAAAAGTTGATGATCTTTTCTATATTCAAATCAAGAATTTTTTAGACATCTGGGTTGGCAGTTGGTAAAGAGAGAAGGAAGAAAGTAGATACAATATTCCAGCTCCAAAAATCATCTAAACTGAGAGAAAGTAGCAGCAGGAAATGAATACCAGGTTGTAAAGGGGAAAAATGCAAATATAACAAAGCTAACCTCGAGCCAGATGCTACTTATGAATGAACCTCTCTCCTAGGAAGTGCTGACCACTTTTGGATATCCACATGGCCCCAAAAGAGTTGATCCCCTTCCTAAAATCCCAGCCTGGAACTCATAGTGGCTGATTTATTCACAGAATTTGGCTTACACAAATTTTAGACTTGCAAAAAAAACCCACCATGTTTCTGTTTTATATTTGTTGAAAGCAATGAAACTTCTTCCAATCAATAGATATCTCTTGGGAAATTTCAAGTTTGTCACTTTTCCATCATTGCCTTTTGCTTGTGTACAAAAATATTATTCTATAGCTCTCAATAGGACATAGCTTTATTGCAATGTGCTTTTCTTTCTTTTTTATTTGTTCTAATTAGTTATACTTGGCAGCAGAATGCATTTCAATTCATTGTACACAAATGGACCTCAATTTTTTATTTCTCTGGTTGTACACAATGTAGAGTTGAACCATTTGTGCAGTCATACATATACCTAGGGTAATAATGTCTGTTTCATTCCACCATCTTTACAGCCCCCTCCCTCCCTTTTGCCCAAAGTTCCTCCATTCTTCCCACAGATACCAGCCCCCATTATGGATCAGAATCCACTTATCAGAAAGAACATTCAGCCTTTGGTTTTTTGGGATTTGGCTTACTTTGCTTAGCATGATATTCTCCAACTCCATCCATTTACCTGCAAATGCCATAATTTTATTCTCTTTTAATGCTGAGGAATATTCCATTGTGTATATATACCACATTTTCTTTATTCATTCATTTATTGAAGGGCATCTAGGTTGCTTCCACAGTTTAGCTGTTGTGAATTGAGCTTCTATGAACATTGATGTGGCTGCATCACTATAGTATGCTGATTTTAAGTACTTTGGGTATTGACTGAGGAGTGGGATAGCTGGGTCAAATGGTGAGTCCATTCCAAGTTTTCTAAGAAATCTCCATATTGCTTTCCGGAGTGGTTGCACCAATTTGCACTGCCACCAGCAATGTATGAGTGTACCTTTTTCCCCACATTCTCACCAACACTTATTATTGCTTGTATTTTTAAGTGCCATTCTGACTGGAGTGACATGAACTTACAAGTAGAAGTTGAACATTTCTTCATATATTTGTTGATCAATTGCAATGTGCTTAAGTCAAAGACTTAATTATAATATTTAGAAACATGAATAATGCTACCATGTATCTGCCTGGCCAAATAGACTAAATCAGTTCTGAATACAGTTGTTCTACCTGAAGGAAAAATGTCAAAATCCACCTTAGGACCCTGTGAATCCACACATTGTCTATTGTGATAATTTGGTGCTGAGACTATCTGATAAATGTAATCTAACTTCAGAAGCAATCGTAAAAACAGGATAACAAAAGAGAAGTTGATGAGTCTTTTGGGAACCCCCCATTATTGGAACACAATGTAATAAGGTTGATTTAAAATGCTTTATAGAAAGTTTGCCAGTCTAGCTGGACTGAAATGTAATCCAGTACTTTCAACAATGTTAAATCATTAGCAAATTCCTTTGGTGAACTTTGTGACATGAACTATAAGAGAAGCCTGTTAAGGATTCACTGGCCTAAAAAGCATGTGGATACTTACATGTATCTCAGCCAAGTTTATGAACAGCTCCCATCACATGTTTTCAAATACTATATAATAACCAACTCCTGAGGGCCAAAGCCCAGACCAGACACATTTGATCTGTGTTCTGTCCTTCTCTGCCCCCTTTTAACATTTGAACGAGCACAGTACACAATTCAGCACAAAGTAAGTTGACCAACAGACCACATGCATCCCACTACACATAATATAATGTTGTTGTAAAATGAAGGTATTTTAAGTATTAAAGTGTACATCAAATTAAGATAAAAGAGAATAGGGGTAAAACAAATTTCTTCTCACTTAATCTGTCTGATACTGAGTGTGTAAAATAAATTATTCCAAGCAGAATACACATAGAACACAAATTTTTCTAACCATGGAAATGACAGATACTTTCAACTTCATGAAAGTAACTAAAGATAGATTACCAAAGACAACTCATGCCTTTTTTATCAGCACTTCATCAAATACAGCACTTAGAATTTCTTAGAAAAGCATTGTGGTAAAACACTGCTCCAAAATGTTGCCAGTTAGAAAATGCATTTTATCTTTGGATGAGTCGACATTTCCCCAGCCTTCCTTCATCATTAAAAAATATATCTGTAGTTTGATGCATTTTTCCAGAAAGCAATGAATAGGCTATATCAGCAACCGACTTTATCCACTGACATACAGACTGACTGATGGAAACTTCTAACAGACCTAAGACTTTAAGCCTTGGTACAAGGGTTTACATCAGACCCTTCACAGAAGAGGAAAGCCATTTAATCCTGGAAACTTACTAAACTTCCTACAAGACAACCAGAGATCTTTTTTATATTCTATTAATTCCAAAAGAACAGTAAAATAATACTTTAATATCTCTGTGTGTTCATATTTCTCTCTTTTTTTCTGTATAATTGTCTATCAGAAAAGATAAGTGCTTAAGATTGGTGGCAGGTGGCACCCCAATTTCACTCTGTACCATGTGTCATTCTTCTGAAGCGCTACTGCTTGCTTGGGTCCCTGACAATAATTGCTACCACTTCATCCCAAAATGACGTGCAGGTTTAAAAAAAAAAAATAGAGAAAAAAATAATGCCAAGGGACATGGTGCTTATCCTCCTAAAAGCAAATTCTAAGGTTTCATAGTTTAAATGGAAAGTGACCGGAGCTCACATTTGCCCACGTGCTTTTTATTAAATTGTCGAAAGCTTTTTCTATTTCTCTGCATTTTTAAATTCTCAACTCCATATTTTCTGTGTTTTTGTACCGAATGAGGAAAAACTCCCAAAAGATTGCATACAAAGAGCAGAGCCTGCTGTTCTCTGAGATTGATGTATGTTTATGAGGAAATCCAGCTTGCAATTTTCAAAACCTGCAGGTTCATTGTAAGTTAAACCATGTGGCCTCTACTCAAATCATTCCTTCCTTTCAAAATCACTCATCAGAGCTCCCAAATGCCCTCTTCCCTTGGATCTTTCTGCATGGATCTGTTCCTGCCAGGACTAGCTCTGTGCCAGCAGTTCTCATCCAGGGTGGTGGATTCCCACAGCATCTAGGTGGTTTCTTTCCTCCCTGAGACAGCACTACAAGGCAACCAACCCCCCACCAAAAAAAAAAAAAAAAAAAAGGTGTGCTTCATGCCTGACTTTTTTACTCTTTTAATTTTTGGGTGAGAAATTTACAAATTAAAAAGGCACTTTCCTTAAGAAATATAGAACCTGCTTAAGTGTGCATTAGAATTACCTGGTAGGCATGATAAAAATACAGATTCCTGGCTTCATTCTTGAATTATTAAATCAGAACATGGATAGGTTTATAAGGAATTTGCATTTCAAATTTGAGAACTTCTCATTGGAGCACTAATACTTTTATGGCATCGTGAGAGTGAGGAAAACACTCTCAAAAAGACACAGTCCTTTCCATAACAAAACATGTATATTTTGAAAAGTGTGCACTTCCTCAACTGCATGAACAAATTACAAGCAATGATATCCAGCCTCAAGCAGATTTTGAAATTCTGCAGGTTATACAATGCACCAAGAAATTTAATAGAAAATGTAGCTTTTCTTCTATTACCTGGTTCTTAAATTTAGTCATGTAGCATTGATGGGATAAATCTGAAGATTATACAACATCGTTAGAAGATGGCAACTGAACCTAATTCTCAGACAAAAGAAATAAAACGCAATTAGGTAGAGAATTTGTTCATTTTAAATCCTTTGTGTTGATTCATTTCACTCCCCCTGGGCCTCATTTACCTCGGGATTTGCACAGGATCCGGCTGGAGGGCCTCTGAGTTGTTAAGTGACTATCTAAAAGCTGATTTAGGATTAGCCAGCTTAACCAGGTGAACAGAGGGTTTCACTTTGGGGAGATCAGGACTGTGAGGCTGAAGGGCTGTCTGTGTCCTGAGAGCAGCGCATTCCGAATGGGTGCAGAGGGGTTGGCACTCATCAGGAGAGACTGACTGCTGCTCCTATGCCTGCTCTGCCACCCCAGTGTCCTCCTGCCAAGGAGGCAGGTGACCAACAACAGCAGTATAAATACTGGATGAGATGGTCCTGTGTTATTAATTAGCACTTTCTAGGGGAGACTGTCATTAGCTATTGTGAGATAATCACTCCAAACTCCTTTCAAAGAAAGGCACGTGCTCACAAGAGTCCCAGAATTCAGGAGGTTTCTAATTTACAGAGCCTGCTAGAGTGCTCTGTACTTCATCTTGTGTCTTAAAGGCCAGTATTATTAGCTTTCGTCATCCTGAGTCTGCCATGTTTTTCCTAGGGGTAGAGAAAGAGAAGAACAGTTCATGGTAGATTTTGTAATGTTTTGAGAGAAAGTGTTATTTCTCTGTCCTAAGCCTGTATTCCAGTCTGTGCCAGTGTCCTCTGTGACTTATAGTGTTGCATGAGGCAGGGAGTCTCCATTTCCTTGGGTGTTTGAGGGGATATAAAGGGTGGTTCAAAGATATGTATTCTCCCAGGAAAATGGGGTTCAAAGGATTTCCTTCACAGGCATGAAAATGTGGCTTTTGAAAAGACATGTTCTGCCAATGAGAAGCTATCCGATTCATTTTTATTTCTGGAGACAATACCAGGAGAATAGAGACTGACCTGAAACAAACTGCATGAGGCAAATGGACAGGAAGA